TGGTGCTTCCCACCGAGGACCCCAAAACTCAGCACCAAGATCCAAGTTCCTGTGTCCCAGACTTGCAGGCGGCCTCCAGGCCTGGCCTGGGACTGAGAACCACTCTAGTGACCCCACGGCTCTCCTCTTGGCTGGGCCATAACCCTGTCCTGCCTGTGCTCCAAAGCCCAACTCCCCCTGATGCTTCTCTGTCCAGGCCCTGAGCACTACGAAGCTTGAAGCAGGGAGGGGTCCAGAGTGATAAAAGGGGGGGAAAGTGAGGGGTGGAAAAGCTAGGACAGAGAGGATCCTGCAAACTCGCAGTCTGGTGGTGCATCTCAAAGCCGCAACCTCCTGGCTTCAGACACCAAAGCCAAATGCATCCCGGTTTCCTGGGGTCGAGCGCCTACCGCCACCACCTCCATCAGCGCGTTCTGCCTTGATTGCTCCCGGACCTCAGCTACACATATCTGTGTGTGGCAGTACCAGCGGGTAGCTGGGAGAGTTGTGTCCCTCATGATCTCCACCGGCTGCTCTCTGAAGCTACCCCAATACGATCTAAACAAAAACTGCATGCTCTTTATGCACACAGCCCTTCACGACAAATTCCTAAGCCCCTTTCCCACCGGATTGTCACCTTTACCAAGCCCCATGTAAATGGAAATGCTGGAGCCGCCACTGTCCCGCAGCCAAACGCAGCTTCTCGCCGCGCTTTCACAGCACCCAAGTACCGAGAACAGCTCGTGAGAGCAACACAAGGTATCTCCACTCTCTCCGCACCCTCCTCACGCAGCGCCTCCAATCTCCCTGCCCAGTGAGCCCAGCGAAGAGGCCTCCGGGTGCACCGTCCCCTTCCTTCCCAAAGGTCCCCGAGCCATCCTGGGCGCGCGCGTCAAGTCCGTGGAATTGCACTGCGTCTGCAGGTGGCTCGCTCTCTCCATTTTTCCTTCCTTATAAATAGACCTTTCAAAGACGAGAGGAAGAAGGGCAGAAAAGACGAACTGACCTGTACAGGGCAAGCTTCCAGCCCAGGTTGGGGACCTCTCCGCACGCGAGGAAGCCCCGAGCTCCGCCGCGAGTTGGTTCCTGGCGGCGCACCGCCCTTGCTTGCTTCGCTCCTTGTACCCTTTTAAATTAGCTCCTCTCCCTCTCCCGCTCCTTCTCCCGCTCCCGCTCCCGGCCGCCCGGAGCTGCCTCCGCCTCCCCAGCCCTTCCCTCCTGCTGGGCGCCCACAATCAGATAAGAGGAAAGGAAGGGCCGCCGGCGGCCAATTATAGAGCGGAAGGTGGCTGCGGGGCGGGCGGTGGGAGGCAGGCCCAAGTCCCCAACGCCCCCACTTTCTCTCTTCCTCCTCCTCCCCATCTCATCCCCGCCCCACGGCAGAAGCGGAGGAAGCCGCCCCGAGCCGAACGCGTGTCCCCATTTGCAGACCTGGCGGCCCCCCAGGTGCGCGCCGCAGCTGGGCGTAGAGCGCGGGGACGAGACGCGTCCTCACGCCTGCTGGGCCCGAGGCTAGTGCGGAGCTCCTGGAGCAGAGCCCCTGCACGCTGTGGGAGATCTCGAGCCCTCCCGTCCCCAGGTGCTGCGTCCACTTCCCCCTTCCCAAAGATCGGCCTTGCCTTCCCGCATCAGAGAGACCCAGTGCTCGGGGTGAGGGGATGGGAGGCTGCGGGGACCGGACGGGATGGGACGGTAGCCACCGGGAAGCCACCTTTCCGTCCCTCTTCTCCCTTTCCGAACACATCCTCTTCCCAACAACGCCTAAGCAGCGCTTAAACTTTAATGTGCAGAAGAATCATCTGGGGGTGTGGAAATTGATATTTTTGTCGTTTACAAAAGCACAGATGTTGGCATTTTCACATGGTTGGACCTCGAAACCGGAGATTCCCCCGCCACGGAGACTCTGATCAACAGGTGTGGGCCGAGACCGGGGACGCTGCGCTCATCGACCCCCCTGGTGGCTCTGATCCACGCAGGCCACCCTTTGACAGACTCTGCCCTGGGACGTGACGAGCAGGAGGCGCGCCAGGGCCCCACGTGGGTCTCTGGGGACTCGGTCCTGCGCTCCTCCGCTGGGCCCTCTTCAAGGGCATCTTTACGCATTTTTGAGCCGCACTAGCAAACTGCTTGCGTCCAATTCTTTACAATCTAGCTTGCTCTGTGCTCGCCAATGCTAGGGAGGAGAGTGCACAGAAACAGAGAATTTAGCAAGACCCTACTTTTGTGAGAAAATGCTTTGTCGCCTTGGAAAACTGCAGCATTTCACCATCGCCCAAGGCTGGCTGATGGAGAGAAGAGGGGGAGGGGAGACCGTCAGCAGGTCCTCGATCCTGGCTCGGTCGTGCCCAGCTGGGAATCCAGAAATAGGGGCTGTGACGTTTGAGACCTTTCAAGACGGTCTTTCCGACGTTCTGCCCGTCCGTACTGCGGGTAGCCACTACTTCTGCTTTCCTCGAATCTGCGTGACGTTTGCATCCCTGCCCATGCGCTGGATTCCCCCTCAGGTCTTGAGGTTGCAGTGCAAAGGGTTAGGGTCCGCCCTGCGTCCCTTGATCTGAGTCGGAATTGGCCTCTGCTCAGCCACAGGGCGCGGCCGCAGCAGGGCGCGGCTCTGCATCTGCGCTCGACGGAACGCGATGCTCGGGCCCCAGGCGGCCGGCGCAGCTTTTTAGACCAAGGATCCCCGACGCGGCACTGCAGAGTAAGAGCGCCACCTGGTGTCTGCTCGGGGTTGAGATAGAGCGGGAACTGGAAGGATGCTCATTCACCGTGGATTGACACGTTTGGAGCAGAATTGCTGAAATGTAGCATTTATTCTTACAGACAACTACCGCTTTAGTTAGAACTCCCTTTCTCTGCCTATGACAAGTGCCTATTACCCTCATATTGTGTTCCTCCTTTTCACGGTAAAAATTTACTCTCATGTTCTTCATTTTTACCAAAATGTAGATAATTAGTGTAAGTTTTTCTTGTAATTCCCTTGGGAGAGATGGTTGCACGTTAGCTCAAAGTTTTAGGTAAAAGAGGGGGAGGGAAGTACCAGTTATTTAATTACAGAAAATTGGAATCTAAAATCCCCTGATGATTTTAAAATGTGAAATATGTGTACAAAAACCCACATACAACAATTAGCCATAATATTTGTTGGATAGAAATCTTATGTGATGATTTGCATTGGTTTAGTAATCATATAAAATGTCATTTTTTAAAATTCTAACTCAAGTCTTTCTTCCTTCATCTCTTTAACTTTGACTTCTTGAATTTCACTTTAGATGTAGATAAACTTCAGTTAATGTTGAATTGGAATTGCTGGTTTCAATCAGTTTTCCATTTAGTCCCAGTTGTGTGTGAATTTCCAGCCCTTTCAAGAGAGTGTTTATTCAACAGTTATCTTAAGGGCAGTCCTCAGAGTCTGGTAGAGTACTCAGAACTGAATCATAGAAACAAGACCAAAAGACCCCACTAATGTTTGTCTCCTTCAGTCTAAGAAAACTAAATATGGATATCTGGGGCCTTTTCAAAGGTATACAAAAATTTTAGCTTCCCACAGTAATTGATTCCAGGACTCAACATACTGAGCTTGTGACATGACTCTAATCCTATTTCTCTCTATGGACTACACACACACACACACACACACACACACACACACACACACCTGCTTCCCCTCTCCTCTCGGTCCCCTGAAACTTTGCAGGAAGACTTTGGTCTTAAACCTGAATTGCAGGATTCTTCCTTTGCTTGACTCACTTTGGTGAAGTGATTTTACTTCTCTGAGCCCAACTCCTCGTGTATAAGAAGAAGGTAGTTAATTATATCTTAAGGGATTGTCATGCAGATTAAATGACAAACGTACTTATGGACCTAATCCATAATAAATAATTAATAAATGGCAGCTACATTAACCAAACCAGGACTATTCCCCTTCTACCCATTGCACATGGCTGTACACTCACCAGCAGCCCCTTCCAGAAGATTCTCCTCTCAATGTTTCTCAATAGAGGTACTATTTTTGACATTTTGTGTAGAACCACCTAGACTTTGTAGAACAGTTATCATGCCTGGTCCCATCAGCCAAATTCCAGCAGCACCGACCCCTCCTCCCAGTCATTGTAAAACCCCCAAGTACCATCATGCATTTCCTCCCGCTTGCTGTAGCAAACCACAGCTTCCAGATGAATGAGTTATTTGTGGTTCTACTCCAACCCCTCTGTAACAGCCAGCAGTGAGTTTTCCCACAGTTCAGCCTCCATTCCTCCTTTATACTCACCAAGTATAGTCACCAGCTGATAATAGTGTCACACCTATGAACAATAACCATGGCCCAATTCCCTGATCCCTGTTCCCGTGTTGCCCCTCCAAGCTGACTACTCCATCCCAGCTATTAGAACTCTTACATGTGCTCTGATCTTGCAGTGGCACAACTGGTAACAGAGGGCTAATTCCCAGCACAGTAGGGAGGCTTCAGAGCCCTGTCCTGTAATAATTGGCCCATATCCCTTCCAATTGACTGACATCCCACCTCACCAGCTGCTAAATTCTTACCCTGGGATAATAGACTTCTGCATTCCTTTAGCCCTGTTTTCCCCCAGTCAATTATGAGCATAAGCTCTAAACTAAGCCAAACAGATACTTTCTCCCTCAAATGTGGGTATTAAGTGGTAAAACACAAAGGCAGAAAAAATGTTTGCCAAATTTTATCTCAGTTCATCCTAGCAATGAGGCCAGAAGAAACAATAGTTGCTATACCCAGACACAGCTCTACCATCCAGCAGGAACACACCAATGCAGCTGAAATCGTTGTTAAAATATTGAAAGTCTTCCATACCAGTTGGTGAATAGCTGCTGTCCCACAACCCTTAGTGTCCTCTACCATCCACTTCCTGGGACCACTACCCCAGATCTCCCTTTGCTCCAACAACTGGAGAGTTAATGCTCTGATCAGCTGAGCACCTCTGTTCTCTGCTCAAGTGTGGCTACTGGCTGCCGGCCCTCCCTGAGCCAAAGGCCGACAAAACCGAGCGGGAAGAGACCCCGGTCCAGCCGGGGGTCCCTTGTGGGGCTGAGCGGGATGATGAGTGTCGCTGGCACGGCCCTTCCCCCCCAGGACCTTCCTCCCCGGGGGCCGAGAAAGAACACCACCGAGCCAGGAGAGTGGTCAAAGCCGGAACTCCGTTTATTAGAAAGGTGTTGGAGTTTATATAGAGGAAGAAAGCGGAAACAGAGAGGAGAGGCGGGAGGAGATGGTTATCCAATCAGGGGAAGCCACAAGTTATGAAGAGGGGTGATGACAGGGCGGGCAAAAACTGCTTAGTCACTGGGCCCCGGAAAAGAAGGACTTCTAGCTACGTGCATTAAAGCGCTCATGAAACGGCGGCGGAGGCCTTACGCCAGCAAGATGGCCACCGCTTGATCTATTTTAGGGAACAGGAACCATACTTAGGCAGGCGCCTTATGATTTGATTGCGCCGCAACATGCCCCAACAACTGGCCTCCATTCTGATTGGGTTGTGCCTGTGCCATCTGGTTGCTCAATCTTTTGAATACCAGCCCTGTCCAGAGCTCTAGAACATCTCTGACTCCTGTCCTTCTGGAAGCTTTTGTCTCAGTTCCATGAGCAACCCCATTTTTTGCCATATCTGATTTATTTCCCTGCTAATTGAAGAACTTCAACTGAATCAACCTTTATTTCACCAGTCCTGAAGCATGGACAAAGGACATGAGAGAGCTTGTCCGAGCTTAACAAGAGTATTATTAACAAAGTCAACACTAGAATTCAGATGTCTTAACTCTCGGGCCAGAGCTTTTCCCTCTATTGTGTGCTGACCCTGTTCCAAACAATATTCGTGTTATCTTCCATGCTTGTATAGGGTTTTTGTTTTACAAAGTGCATTCCCGTACATCACGCTATTTTAATATATGAGCTCTATGAGGTGAAAGTCATTCCAGAGATTGAAATCATATTGTCTTATTCCGCCCTTTATGGTGCTGAAGTCCTCCCCTTCTCTTCACAATTGCCTTTCATGTTCTTGAACCAGTCATTAAGACATTCCTCATCTTTTCAGCTCCATGGACCAGATCAAAGTCATGACTTTAAGAGCAGCCAAGTTTTTCATGTGTGACAGCACCCTGTCCGTGTATGCATGTTGCATAAAAGG